TTTGATTTGTCCTTTTGGTGGCAGTACCACCTGCGAAGAGACATGTTCTGGAATTTGCCACGTTGTTTCATCAGGCAATGGATTTACTGGTATCTCATATGTTCTCAGCAAGTAGTCTATGTTGTAGTAATCCGAGCAATACTTGTATGAATCCATATGGAAGTTTTGTATAACTGCCATTGCATGTGGACATGGAATATCGTCTAGCTGAAACCTCCCACAAGTGCAGTTTCTTTCATGTAGGCGCACCACATTTCTTGTTTGGCCATCAATTACTAAATGTAAGAATTCAGTTGATGGCAACACCTAGTATAATTTTAATTAAGAAAAGTCATTAGCTATATGAAGTAATAGTATTTTTTAAATAACAATATTCAGTTGTTTAGTGAAATCACTAAGGTAAAAAAGTAAAAATACAGTACATGCAGTGTTTTTATGATTTTGAAAATGCATACCGTCATCATCTGTGATAAGATAGTATTATCTGACAATATTTTTTCATACTTTGCACCAATCTTCATAAATGATTCCACTGCATCCTTCCGATTTGTGTAATTCCATTTTTTAATCAATGTTGTCATAAAGTCAAGCAAATTCAAAACTGGGAGGTCTCTTGCGTGCTTGTTTGCTGCATTTACTGATTCCGCAATATTCGATGTCATGGTCATGGTTCTATTTGCCTTGGAATGCGCCCGGGACCATTTATCATATCCAATATCCATCAGGTATGTTTTCACTCTACTATCAATAGCTTCTAACTCTGCCATATGCCTGTTGAATTCTTCAACAGTGTATGCTCTTGCTAACGCAAAATATACTTCTTTGATTTGTTTTTGGCTCTTCCTGAAGTTTGTCTTTATGTTGTTCCACAGATGGAACATACATGCACAATGAGGGACTTCTGGATAGACAATTAAAGTTGCTTTCCATATAGCATCACGCCTGTCTGATACAATGCACATTCCCTCTCTTTGTCCATAGGTTTCTCTGAACTGCACGAAGAACCATTCCCACGATGCATCATTTTCCGAATCAACAATTGCATATGCGAGGGGTAGAATTTGTCCTGTAAATCCAAAGAACAAAATATCAATTACAAAACACTATATTAATTTAGCATTTCATATAGTAGTATAGTCATAGGTAGGTGCAGGTGTGTAGCAAAACAACTATATACTCTGTTGGTATACTTGTATACCATACTGGTATCATATAATATTTGAAAATATTTTTTGTTTCTTTAACTGAATGTAATTGGATTGTACACAAAATATTAATTTAGTATTTCATATAGTAGTATAGTCATAGGTAGGTGCAGGTGTGTGGCAAAAAAACTATATACTCTGTTGGTATACTTGTATACCATACTGGTATCATATAATATTTGAAAATATTTTTTGTTTCTTTAACTGAATGTAATTGGATTGTATTCTTACCCTCTGCGTCTTGCGTGGAAGCCGTGAGTATGGTCCCTCTATATGTTGACTTTAAAAAACTTCCATCAACTACTACTGTTGGCCTACAATAGACCCATCCTCTAATCGATGCATATATAGCTATGAATGCATACAAGAAGCTCCCATCTCCTTCAGTGTGTAGTCGTGTCACTGATCCTGGGTTAGCGTACTCTAACATATAAAGATATGTTGGCATTTTCTTGTATGACTCACTTGGTGATCGTCTCAATAATTGCGTTGCTTTTTCTTTTGATCTCCATGCTTGCATGTAGCTTAAGTCCATACCATATGCTTTTTGGATATCTGCTGGTGTATATATGGTTTTCGGGTCAACAAGTTTATTGGGACGACCCGACCCGTCGTCTCAGGAGCTACCGCCCCGTTTCCCCCATTTTTATGCTTCTTCATGTTTCGTTATCGGTATTTGGTGTGTTAGGGTTGATTTGGATTGGTTTTGATAAGAAATGAGACACTTAGTCTCTTTAAGGAAGGCTTGATTTGGAAAAGTCAACCGGAGGTTGACTTATGAATTATAGGGCTCGGATGTGATTTCCGGTGATTCGGTTAGCTTCGGGGGATGATTTGTGACTTAGGAGTGTGATCGGAATTGATTTTGGAGGTCCGGTGTAGAACTAGGCTTGAATCGGCGAAGTTAGTGTTTTGGCGAATTGCGATTGATAGGTGAGATTTTGATCCGAGGGTCGGAATGGAATTCCGAGAGTTGCAGTAGCTTTGTTAGGTGATTTGGGATGTGTGCGCAAAATTTCAGATAATTCGGAGGTGGTTTGGTTGGGTTTTTGATCGAATGCGAGTTTCGGAAGAATTTGAAGAACTTAGGCTTGGATTTGATGTAATTTGATGGTTTTAGTGTTAATCGTGGTGTTTTTATGATTGGAAAAAGTTCGAATAATGTTTTAGGACGTATTGGTATTTTTGGTTGAGGTCCCGGGGGCCTCGGGGTGAGTTCGGATGGTTAAAAGGAGAGTTTTGGAATTTTTCATGTGCTAAGTTTGCTGCTTCTGGTATGTTTTTGCTTTTGCGGAATTTGGACTGCAGAAGCGGTATCACTTATGCGATTGGGGAATCGCAGAAGCGGTTGGAGCTTGAGTTGGGTTTTCCGCAGAAGCGGAAGTTTGGGCCGCAGAAGCGGTCCCGCTGGTGCAATTTTTGGGCCGCAGAAGTAGTCGAAGCCTTTAGGTGGAAAACCGCAGAAGCGGTATAAAAGTCGCAGAAGCGGTCCCGCATAAGCGGAAACGGGACCGCATAAGCGAAAAAGAGCCGGGCAGAGAAGATTTTTAAAATAACATTTCATCCGCGAGCTAAGGGTATTTTCCTCCATTGTTGAACATCTTGAGAGCTTTTTGGGAGCAATTGAAGAGGGTTTCGACTGAGATTGACTGGAGGTAAGTTTTATGAGTTAAAAACATGATTATATGTGAAATTAACCTAGAAATTCATGGAAATTAAGCCTAAAATTGATGAACTAGGGCTTGGGATTTTGAGATGTTAAATTGGGATTTGATGGGTCATTTGAGCTCGGATTTGAGAGTTCTTGGCATGTATGAACTCGTGAGAAGATGAGGAATCCATTGATGTTAATTTTCTGATTTTTCGAGAAGTGGGCCCGGGGCTCGGGTTTTGCTATTTCGAGATTCTTGATATTTTTCGATTGTTATCTATTGGGTATTGTTCCCTTAGCATATTGTGATGTATTCGCTCTGATTTTTGTTAGATTCGACGCGCGTGGAGGCCGATTTGATGGGGCAAGGGCGTCGCGAGCTAGAGATTTCACCGGTTCGAGGTGAGTAATGATTGTAAATGATATCCTGAGGGTTTGAAACCCCGGATTTGCATGCCGTAGTGCTATATTGAGGTGACTTGCACGCCGGATAGCGAGCGTGGGGTAGAGCACCGTTGGGGATTGTGACTTGGTCCGCCCCGATTGTTGATTTTACCGCGTATTTGATTGAAACTTATTTGATATTATCATGACTTGGGCTGATTACCATACTTGGGGCTTATTGCCGACTGTTTAAAATCCTTGTGAGCTATCATCACTGTTTTTCTCACTATTTGAAAAAATATTATTTGAACTCAGTCCATTTGAATTACACTGTTTCATGAACTCAACTATATTTTTACTCAACCTTGAGTTTTAAATGATGTTTGAACTATTGTTTGTAGCTGAGCA